CAGGTCCCTTTGCTGTGTGCAAGGGTAAGCCTTACAGTTTCCCCCAGGTCCCTTTACTGTGTGCAAGGGTAAGCCTTACAGTTCCCCCAGGTCCCTTTGCTGTGTGCAAGGGTAAGCCTTACAATTCTCCCAGGTCCCTTTGCTGTGTGCAAGGGTAAGCCTTACAGTTTCCCCCAGGTCCCTTTGCTGTGTGCAAGGGTAAGCCTTACAGTTTCCCCCAGGTTCCTTTACTGTGTGCAAGGGTAAGCCTTACAGTTCCTCTAGGTCCCTTTGCTATGTGCAAGGGTAAGCCTTACAGTTCCCCCAGGTCCTGTGTGCAAGGGTAAGCCTTACAGTTTCCCCCAGGTCCCTTTGCTGTGTGCAAGGGTAAGCCTTACAGTTTCCCCCAGGTCCCTTTGCTGTGTGCAAGGGTAAGCCTTACAGTTTGCCCCTGGTTCATTTACTGTGTGCAAGGGTAAGCCTTACAGTTCCCCTAGGTCCCTTTGCTGTGTACAAGGGTAAGCCTTACAGTTCCCCTAGGTCCTGTGTGCAAGGGTAAGCCTTACAGTTTCCCCCAGGTCCCTTTGCTGTGTGCAAGGGTAAGCCTTACTGTTTCCCCTAGGTCCCTTTACTATGTGCAAGGGTAAGCCTTACAGTTTTTCCCCAGGTTCCTTTTGCTGTGTACAAGGGTAAGCCTTACAGTTTCCCAGGTTTCTTTGCTGTGTGCAAGGGTAAGCCTTACAGTTTCCCCAGACTCTTTTGCTATGTGCAAGGATAAGACCTTATCGTTTTTGCATGCTCCTTTGCTTTGTGCACAGGGTAAATATGTTTTAAACTGCTACTGTTTTAAAAGGTATGTATATTTTCACTGGTTTTACGAGAACACACTAGCTAACCTATTCTGATCTCCTGAACCTAGACATCTGAAATATATTTCCCTGAACTAAACGCTTATTATCTGTTACTACCTGAAATATCTGTAAGATCTCTGATCAGTATAAAGATCTGTAGATGTCTGAACTAATAAGGAAATATATGTTTATCGGTATCTGCACGTTCTTCGGCATCATCTGGTAGTTCTGTATTACTGAGCTTTTCGAAGCTCACTCTATTACTCACCATTGCAGGTTAGAAAAATTAAACCAGTGCATCTATCGACTTCAGTAAAAGAGTTCTTCCGGCGTTGTTGCAGAGTATGGTACATGTGATTAGGGAGCATGTAATTGTATTTTATTTTAAATACGAGTCAGAAAATATATTTTATTTTTGAATATTGATATATGATTTTATAAGTTACATGTTTTAATTAAAGTTTTAAATTTTCCGCTATTTTTACAATGGGTCGCTTCGGTGGCCCTAATGTGACACTCCAGATCGGATTGGGTTACCTGTATCGGTCTGAGGGGGTTACATCAACGTTATGAAGGAGAGCCGAGAGTTCCCTTTAGCTTTTATAGGTCTTGCATGTGGTTTTAAAGGCCCCGAGGAGAGGGTTAGAACAAAAGTGGTAACCAATCGTCACCTTAAAGTCACTGGAGATAGGGAACCTAAAATATCTAAGGTTGTTTTGGGAGGTTTAGCTGGTTTATTCGGTAGTTTTTGCTTCGGATCTAGGCTAAGAAGGGCAGATCGAAGTGAAAGGGTCATTTTAGGTTAGGTTTAAGGGGTTTCGACCGCCGTGAAACCGATCAAGTAAGAAAGGGGAGAGTTGAGAGAGTGATATTTTTTTAGGTTTCGGTTGAAAATGAAAAAAGAAAAAGAAAAATAGGTTTTATTGGAAAACTTAAGGGTAAAATCACGCATAGGTCCCCTTAAGTTAGTCACATTTTTGCATGTTGGTCACCTGTAGGGACTAAAATTGTTATTTACCCATTTTAATGCATGTTATATATATTTTGGGGTATTTTCTGTTTAGTCCCCCATAGTTTAGTGTGTTTTTGCATGTTGGTCACCTGTAGGGATCAAAGTTGTTATTTACCTGTTTTCATGCATTTTATGTATTTTTTGGAATATTTTTTGTTTTGTTTCCCTTATTTAAGCGTGTTTTTGCATTTTGGTCATGTGTAGTTATTATTTAATTTTATTTTAAAATCTATGGACTGATTTAGTAATTTATGCATTTATCTTTAAAAGCATGTTTTAGGCTTGTAAAAAAGATATAATTATTAAATAGTCCATGTAGCTTCAACATGTTTTATATTTCGATCTCTGATATGTTTTTTATTTTATTTAATTTAACCATGAAATTTTATTTTATTTTAATTTGATCCCCATATCTTATTTATTTTTATTCATTACAATTTTGGCGCTTAATGTTAAAACTGTTCATTTTGGTCACTTTTGCACTTTATTTTATTTTATTTTTTTGCATGATGATTTATTTGTTTACATTCTAGTCCTATTTGCATTTCATAATATTTTAATTTTTGCATGTTGCTTTTATGTTATTTTATTTTAGTCACTAATTAGTTTTTTTCTCTATTTTAAATTAATTTGCATGATACCCTCATAAGCATTTCTTAACTCGAATCAAAATAATTTGACTAAGGGTAATATTCGTTCATTTCAAGATTGTCGTAAAGTGACTGTCTTAACGTATAAGAAAGTTACTTTCGATAATTTTAAAATGAAAGTTTATTCCATTAAGTTAAACAAATTAAATTGATTCCATTTTAAATTTGGGGATTGAGAATAAGGTCATGTTCTTTTAATTAAGTTCATCGAGAAAAGACTGTTAGATCGAATCCAAGGCCTCGTCTCGATGTATTTAAATAATTGAACATCCTTATTCTCATTAAAGGTTGGTAAAATAAATAATTAATTGTACTTGCTTGATGTATGCTTTTAATTTATTTTATTTTTTCATGTATTTTTCAATGGAATTTCAAAATAATAACATTCGAATTAATATTGAATTTTAGGATGAAATAGTAATACCTCTTCATTTCGATTGGAGTAATAAATGATTGTTTTAAGGTATGAGAGGTCATTTATTCTCGATTGGAAATAATTGGTTATTATTGTTTTCTCTCGGATTAATATTTAATTTTAGGATGAAATAATAATCTCTTCATTTCAATTGGAGTAATAAATGATTGTTTTAAGGCATGAGAGGTCATTTATTCTCGATTGGAAGTAATTAGATATTATCGTTTTCTCTCGAATTAATATCAAATTTTAGAAGGAAATAGCAATATTTCTTTATTTTGATTGGAGTAAGAAATAACTGCTTTAAGTCATGAGAGGTTGTTTCTTCTCGATAGAAGATAATTAAATATTTCCTTTTTCCTTCCTAAAATTCAAAAAATTTATTTTTACTTGTTCATTTAAACTTGGAATTAATAATGAATTTGGGGATGGAATTGTAATATTCCTTTACTTTGATTGGGGTAAAAAACGATTGTTTTAAGGCATGATAGGTTGATTGTTCTAGATAGGGTAATAATTAAATATTATTGTGTTTTGTCCTAAAATTCATAGAATATTATTTGTATGAGATCTTAAATTAAATTAAACTCGAATTCTTAAATTTCATTGCAAAGACAACTAATTAATCAAATATGTACCAATTTAGGGCGTTGTAGGAATGTTAATCATTCTCCGCACGTAACCGACTCCCAAACTCAAATTTTAGTATCGCATACCGTAAATTTGTTGTTTTAATTAAAATTAATATTTTTTCAAATAACAAACACATTTTTGGGTGCCGAATCACACCCTAATCAAATATTGGTGGTGACTCCTCGAATCATGTTTTATTATAAAAAGGTCACAAAATTATTCGAGACGAGATCTTTTAAAAACTATATTTTAAAAATCAAATTTGTGTCTTTTTAAGAAAAAAATCGTTTCGACACACACACACACATATATATGATACTTAAAAACAAAACTTCAAAAGATAATAATAAATCTTTTAATCATCAAGGGTGCTCGATTTGTACCATTACTCTAAATGACTCATTTTAGCCCCTCTATTATTTGCATCAATTCTGTTCAACATCTTTATATATATTTTTTTCTTAGTCAAACATTTTATTAATGCAAAGAAAAACATCCTCCACATCATATATATATATATATATATGAAATGCTTATGTTGTTATCCTCTATTTTTTTCTTTTTTTACTTTGATTAGGCAATATTTCATACAATTTCAACTACTTAAACATGATATATATAAAGGGAAAGAAGGGATGGGAGCAAGTACACACTCTTCATGTGTAATTTGGTAAGAGATATTGTTATTTTGTAAGATGGTGTTGTAATCTTTTAGTGTTTTCGAGTCGAGTTTTACTCATCCTTATCTGAGCCAATTTATACAGCAACCAAAACACTTTCACTGGACCTATCCAATGACAAATGTGATATGTGATTCGCCATAAAACCCTAAAATTTAGGGGTCACTCACATGAATATCATTTAGGCCCGTCCATGTATAACGTTTGAGAATAAACTTTTTGTTTGGTTCTCGGGAAAATGACAAAGAAAATTATAAATGAAGATTTTGACAATATCTTTAATCGTTTTATGATGAATTTTGGTATAAAAAGAAAACCTCGTAGATCCTTCATAATTTTAAATTAGACAAATTAATCTTTTATTATAAAATATTTTAAAAATCTCATTTTAAAAAGTAGCATAGCCCTCCACATCATTTGGTACGGTATGATTCTCACCTTGAAATAATACCAGGTTAGTGAGATACATAAAGAAGAATCCATAATGACGGATTTTGCTGAGTGCTTTAAGTGTTTCAAGGTAATGACTCGGATTGAGCATCATATCTTCAAGGATATCCATAACTGGATATTGCATAAAATTGGAAGTCGTTAATTTCTTGGAAATTAAACAAACAAAACACAGGCTAAAGCAAAATATAGACATCCAAAAGAACATTTTAGAATATTGTATTCCGGCTGAAGTTGAAGAAGAGAAGATATAATCTGAAGTTGCAGTAGCTATGAATCTAAGCAATCCTATATATATATAGCAAAGATTATGATATTAACTTGAAACAATTAGCTTGGGATAACACATTCACCTTGGAATTTGATAGAAGGAATATACTGGAACTTGTAAAAGTCCTCTCCTCCTTCATCTACTTTATCTTTGAGTTCCTTTAGCACGTCTTTAAACTTCAGCTCTTGGAGGGTTGCAATGAACCTCAATCCATCTAGAAGTATCTTCAGCCCTGAGCATTCCTCGATCTTCAATCACCGAAGACAAGGCATGGCTCCTTCATCCACATTTCACTCCTCCAAATTGAAGAGTTGTTTAAGTCTTAAAGACTCAAGTTTAGGAGAACCTTGTGCGGAGTAAACTATTTTGTTTGCTCTTAAAGCTACATTAAGCAATTTAAGAATCCTTAAGTTAGGTAGCTTTTCCAGTGTTGGCATCGGATCATCGTCAACCTTATAATAGCTCAACTTTATGTAAGCAAGATTCGAAGACAAGTGGTTGTACTTTGGTAGCTCATTTATTTTCACATCTAAACACAACTTACAGAGACTAATGCAGCTTGAAAGGAGGTGATTCAATTGTCTCATGTCTATTCGTCCACCACGATCGATAATAGACAAGGAATAGAGGTATTTGCCTTCAATGACAGGTGGATTCTTCTCAAGTTCCTCCACGTTAAAATCTTCGATCTCGAATGGGCCTTTAATCGCCAACTCTCTAAGATTTGTCACGTTCATAAGATCCTTTAGATAACAACTCTTGGTGTTGAAGTTCACAAGTGTTTGCAGGTTTCTCAAAGTACCCAACTTCAACTTTGTTTTACTATTATATTTAAGAGGGAGATATAAATGTCTTAGTTTCTTCATCTTCCATATCACATTAGGTACATGGATAGATTGAGAGTCTTTATTACCAAGTCTTAAATCCAAGGTCAGCAAGCACCTTAAGTTGCCCAAAGATGATGGCAACTTCCTCCACCAGAACACAATACCCCTTAGACTCAAGAATCTTAAATGGATGAGATTACCTATATCATTGGGTAACTTGCGTCCTGCAATAACTTCATTATCAAGTCTTCTTTTATAATTTAGGACTCTTAGCAATTTGAAATTGTTGCACATGTATCGCCAAGCTCCCTGAGCTTTAGAAAACAGAACACCAACAGCCACAGGTACAGTATCACAAACCAACAAACTCTCGAAAATCAATCTCAGTTTATTCAAATTATCTTCATGGTTATCTATGTAGTTCAACAGTATATTGGGGAAAAGTTTTTCAGTTTCTTCATCCGGACTGAAGCCATTAAAGAACAAAAGTGACAGAAGATTTGGACTTTTAATGCATTGTATCCGGAGAGACTTTTGTGAAGAAGCTCTACGAACCTTTCGGATCATGGATGATGAAGATGCATTTGATTGATCAACAATGAACACAAAACTTTCTTGTTTAGCCTTTGACAAACATAGATCTCTCATTAGATCATGCTTATGAATTCTTTTGATTTTAAAGGTTGTAATGTCTCTTTTCCGTACTTGAATCATGCATCTTTCTGCAAGTTCCATTAAATCGTTCCGCCACATCTTTTGTGACTTCTCCACCATCTGTTTCTTTTTATTTTGATGAAACAATACCTTCGGCAACACATAATTGAATCAACCTATCAACGAATATTTCATAATCCTCCGAAAAATTGCTTAAATAAAGGAAACATGGTCTTAAACATGGAGGCAAATCATCATAACTTAAGGCTAACACATCTTCTGGTCCTTGACTTTTGCCCATCTTCAAGTATGATTTCACATTTTCAGATACCTTTCACCATTCATTTAATGAATTATCCTTGGTAACCAAAATTCCTCCTAACGCAACGATGGCTAATGGAAGTCCTGCACAATGTTTAACCATTTCCACCCCAACTCTTTCAATTTTGAATCAACCTTGTTTTCTGTAGGATGAGTTTGAAGGAATGCAATCTTTTGAAACAATTCCCAGCTTTTTTCGTTGGAAAAACATTGCAACTCATGCAGGTATCCTTTGTTGAAAGTCTAAGTTGGTTGGCAGCTGGCTGCTTTGAACAAAATTAGGCAGCCAACTTTTGTTGAAAAAATTAAAAGGGATAATTAAAATTAGTCCTTCACTTTAGGGTATTTACAAGATTAGTCCTTAAGTTTCAACTATAAATACCCTAGCTCATTTAGCTTCAAAACCATCCTAAAGCATTCTAACTTTCTTCCAAGACTAGAGAGAATTTAGAGAGTTTCTTGAGGGTTGTTTTCTCCTTTTTATCAAGAGAGAATTATAATTGTTTTCTCCTTGGTCGATCGAGAGAAGTTGTAATTCCTATTTTCTCATAGTGAAATTCTTCTACCATTGACCGTGGTTTTTACTCTATATTATTTAGGGGTTTTCCACGTAAATTTTGTGTCTTTTTTATTTTCATTTTTATTTTCTCAAATTATCAGTTGCGATTTTTCTCTATCCGATAGCCGTCTTCCGCAACAATTGGTATCAGAGCCAGATTAGAGTGTGTAATATCTACTTATTGTCTTTGTGGTTGCCACCAAAAGGTGGATCCTCCAACGTAAGAAAGTAAGAAGTTATTACCCATTCTTTGAAGGTTCCAGAGAATTATTCATGATAGTGAAATAGTGGGAGCTATCTAAAAGCTATGGCAATGAAATTTGATATTGAAAAATTCAATAGTAGAAATTTCTCATTATGGAAATTGAAGATGAAGACCATCATGAGGAAAGATGGTTGTCTAGCAGCTATCAGTGAAAGGCCGATGGATTTCACAGATGAAAACAAATAGATCGAAATAGACGGGAATGCTATGACAAACTTTTATCTAACATTAGCAGATAAAGTATTGTCAAGCATCGAGGAGAAGAAGACAGCTAAGGAGATATGAGATCATCTCACCAAATTGTATGAGGCCACATCGTTGCACAATAAAATTTTCCTTAAGAGAAAATTGTACACTCTCCGTATGTCAGAATCTACTTCAGTGACGGAGCACGTAAACACACTGAACACGTTATTTTCTCAGCTTACATCCTTAAGATGTACAATAGGATAACAAGAACGTGATGAACTTCTACTTCAAAGTCTACCTGATTCGTATGATCAACTCATCATCAACTTGACAAACAGTAATGTCACCAGTCTAGTCTTCGATGACGTTGCAACTGATGTTCTCTAAGAAGAAAATCGACGCAAGAACAAGGAAGACAGACAAGTAAATCTGCAACAAGCAGAAGCATTGACAACGATGAGAGGGAGATCAACAGAACGTGGCCAAAGCAGCAGTCACAAACATGGTAGTTCGAAGTCGAGGAGCAAGAAGAATTTAAAGTGCTACAACTGTGGAAAGAAGGGTCACTTGAAGAAGGATTATTGGAGTCTAAATAAAAACTCCAATCCACAAGGTAATACCGCAAACACTTCAGATGATGGAGATGTTCTATGCTATGAAGCGTTAACCACCGTGGAAGGCAGAAAAAGATTTGCAGATATATGGCTCATTGATTCAGGAGCAACATATCACATGACCTCAAGAAGAGAATGGTTCCATCAGTATGAACCTGTCTCAGGAGGATCTGTGTATAGTTGCAAGGATCATGCCTTAGAGATCATTGGCGTGGGAACTATCAAATTGAAGATGTATGATGGAACAATTAAAGTTGTTCGAGATGTGCGGCACATGAAAGGCCTGAAGAAAAATTTATTATCATACGGATTGTTGGATAATAATGCAAGCAAGATTGAAACACGAAAAGGAATCATGAAGGTGTTCCGTGGAGCGCTTGTGGTGCTGAAAGGCGAAAAGATAGCTGCAAACTTATACATGCTGAAGGGATAGACTTTGCTAGAAGCAGAAGCCTCTGTTGCCTCATGTAGTTCAAATTCTGCAATGCTATGGCATCAGAAACTTGGACACATGTCAGAACAAGGAATGAATGTCCTTGTGGAACAAAACCTATTTTCAGGCTTAACAAATGTAACACTTCCTTTGTGTGACCATTTCATAACAAGTAAGCAGTACCAGTTGAAATTCAACAAATCAAATTCTAGAGGCAAAAGTGTTCTAGAATTGGTTCACTCTGATGTATGGCAAGCACCAGTTACATCCCTAGGTGGAGCAAAATACTTTCTCATTTATTGATGACTACTCCAGGAGATGTTGGGTGTACCCTATCAAGAAGATGTCAGACGTATTTCCAACTTTCAAAAACTTCAAGGTGCGGGTGGAACTTGATTCTGGAAATAAGATCAAGTGTTTCAGAACATATAACGGAGGAGAATACACAAACGAAGAATTTGATGAATTTTGCAGGAAAGAAGGCATCAAAAGACAGTTCACAATGGCAAACACTCCTCAACAAAATGGAGTGGCAGAGCGGATGAACAAAACCTTGTTAGAAAGAACAAGAGCAATATTAAGGGATGCAGGCCTAGAAACATCATTCTGGGCAGAAGCAGTCAATACCACATGTTATTTGGTGAATCGAGCTTCATCAACTGCAATAGAGCTGAAGACACCAATAGAGACGTGGACTGGTAAATCAGCTGATTATTCAAACCTCCATATATTTGGAAGTATTGTGTACGTGATGTATAACTCCCAAGAAATCTTAAAGCTGGATCCAAAATCCAGGAAAAGCAAATTCTTGGGGTATGTTGATGAAGTAAAGGGGTATCGCTTGTGGGATCCCACTGCCCGCAAAGTGATCATCAGCAGGGATGTCATCTTTGTAGAAGATAAGCTACAAAGAAAAGAAGACGATGATAGCATTGAAAAGTCAGAGACTACACAGATACATGTAGAAAAAGAGGTTGAACAAGGAGATTCTTCTGAAGCAGAAACATCACATGATGAACAAGAACCAGAGAGTTCTGAAGCTCCAACAACTCGTCAATAAAATCGTGTGAGAAGACGTCCCAATTGGCACTCAGATTATGTTATAGAAGGAAATGTTGCATACTGCCTTTTAATAGAGGACGGTGAGCCATCAACAAACCAGGAGGCAATAAACAGCTCAGATGCTTCACTGTGGATGATGACGATGCAAGAAGAAATCGAAGCCATTCATAAAAATATACATGGGACCTTGTGCCACTACCACAAGAAAGGAAGCCAATTGATAACAAATGGGTCTTCAAAATCAAGCGAAATGGTGACGATCAAGTTGAGAGGTATCGTGCAAGATTGGTGGTCAAAGGATATGCTCAAAAAGAAGGTATTGATTTCAATGAAATATTTTCTCATGTGGTTTGACTAACAATAGTTCGAGTAGTTTTGGCAATGTGTGCTACATTGAACTTACATCTAGAGCAGTGTTGAAAACATTTTGATATTTCGATACAACAAATTAAGTTAAATGAATTTTAAGATTTTCCAAAAAGATTTTCTAAGTATATTCGATATAATTATTCGAATATCAAAACATTAATCTAAATCTTTCAAAAGTAATTTTTAATCCTTACTCAAGTGTAAAATTAAGTTTTAATCTTAAAACAATTTCAAAATAATTTTACAAAGTATTTCGAACCGTTTCAAAGCCAAAAATTCCAGATTGCTCAGAGGGAACTGATTCCCCCTGAATGGTTTGGCTCCGAGAATTCTAGTATGCTCGGAGGGAACCGATTCCCCCCAGGGGGTACCGATTCCCCCCACTATTCAACGGTCGAAATATTTGTATTTTACACTTAGGGAACCGATTCCCTATGAGGGGTACCGAATCCCCCACGCTCCAAACTGTTTTATTAATTGATTTCACACTAAAACAACTATATTATCTTCATTAATGATCCCCCAACGTTCAAAAGTGATTCAAGGTGTATTTAAGCAAGCTTAGAAGCCATTGATCAAGAACAATAAACATCAAGCAACTAGAATCAAGAGAGAATCAAAGAGAAAACATCAAACCTCAAGTTTGAGCATTTCAAGCCTATTTTTCATTCAATATTCTTTTTTCTTTCAAGAACACTTATTGTGCTCAATTGTATTCATTCTTGAGTGTTCTTTTCTTTGTTCTAGAATTGTGCAAACAATCTACCTTGTGAGGATTTCCTTGTAAGTTTGTAAATTTGTATTGTTCTCTTTGGGAGAGAGTATTCTCAAGAATTTAGGGTATAATTCTTGAGGGTTTGTAAGGTTACTCTTTGTTCTCAAAAGAAAGACAAATTTGTGAATTTGTGGAAAATCCTTAGTGTGGATAGCTAAGGTAGTGGACGTAGACTTTGGTTGAGAAAGTCGAACCACTCTAAATCGCTGTGCAAATTTCTTTCAATTTTCTGCAAAAGCTTCCACTAAAATTTTAATTGCCAATTCACCCCCCTCTTGGCCATATTCGTCAATCAATTAACTCAACAATTGACATCAGAGCCTAACTCATTTGAAGGTTTAATCACCTCTTGAGTCAATTCGGGAAGAGTTACATCGATAATCAAAGTCATCAATGGCCTCTACTTCAAACTTCGACTCCGGTCTCGATTCGATGCCCGTCAACAAGCCTCCTTTATTCAATAGGGCTAATTATGCCTATTGGAAAAATAGGATGATGTACTTCATTCAAGCAAGTGACATGGGAGCATGGAA